GGCTTTGAAACCAAAAGGAATCAATTTTGTGAGACTAATGTTGATCAGCCTCAAAAGATGCCATTTCTTTTTAATTTAATGAATAATCAATTCAAAGTTCTATCTTCCCTTGCAGTAGATGGGCAACCCAAGAAGCAGCTGATACTCAAAGCCAGTTCCATGGGTTAGGATCAATTTTAGAAAATTGGCATTTTGATACCGAAGTGCCCTTTCTTTAATTGTTTTTTTGGTTCTTCTATTTCCTCAGCTTTTGTATTAAATACAATCTCGCAGTTTAGCATAACCCTTCTTGAGGATGCTGGGGGCAAATCTGTCAAACACTTCTTGATTACATGAACTCTCTCCATGGTCCTGGATTTGACTATCAGAGAATGTTCTGATAGTTTTGGAAGATATTTTGAAAGACAATCTTCCTTCTAAGAGTACCTATGTGCATTTTTTATTTAAAATTACTATCACAATTTAAGATTTCCCCATACATATTGCTCTTCCAGAGTAATCTATTCTCTTCATAGTTCTTTGCATCTTTTTTTTTTAATAAATGAACAAAATTACCTCTGCAGCTGAATACCATGTTTTGGTGCACTGAAAATGGCCATTCATTATTCTATTCAGAAACTTTTTACAAACATTCAAGCTTACAGTGTTAATTATACATGTGTACATGTTTATTTGAATACCTCATTAAGTATACCTGTGGCATATGATGGGTAGGCCCTAAGAATAATAAATATTATACAGAAAAGAAAATTCAGTATCAGCAATAAAATGGTATTGTTTTTCTCATGTTAATGAAAAAAGTATCTTCATTATTATAAATGAGAATTGTGGACATTCAAAGAATTAAACTGCCCATGTGAATTAGATTAGTCTGTCATCACACAGATCTTGTAACTAGAAGCATTTCACTAAATTTTTACTTTATTTCTAACAAGTACTTTATGAGGTAATAAATACTTTATGAGGTATAAAGCAGTGTCATCCCATTTCACAGATGAGAAAACTGAGGCATTAGAAGCAACTTTTACATAGTTAATAAGGCATTGGACACTTCATGTTTTAACAGGAGCTGTATATTTTATCTTTAACATTACCCTTTTGGTTGGGGTGATTGGACCCATTTGAAAATCTGAAAGTCATGTATCTCTTGAAAAATTGACATATAAACACAACTTTGCATATGGTGAAGAGGTATATGCATATTGTGTTGAGGTATTTTGAACTTATTTGTTGAGCATATTATTTGTCTGTGATGGCAATCGTTGTTGCAGATGATGGAGCAGTCACCAAAGCGCTTTGATATTGTCAGTCTTTGCTGAGGCTTAGTGGGTACTCCATTTCTTCTACCCAGAATCCAGTTGAGCACGGTTGAGCACTGGGAAGCTTCTATCCAAGAAGCATATAATTGCAGATCTGAAGTTTTGTCTTTTTTTTAATGGCACACACACACACACACACACACACACACACACACAATGGTGCTTTTGCATTTGAGGAATGCAGCCAAAATGTTTTGTCTAGAACAAAATATACAGAAACAAAGTTTATTTTAGGTTTTAACATGGTACTTAATTCATGTTGAGAACTGATTATAGCTAGACTCTACTTCATAAAACTGAGCAAGAGATTAATCCGCAAGCTGTGTTATTGTCTTAAGATCTCTAGTTTTATCTATTATAACAGAGTCTCAACAGCCTTTGTAATCCTTTGACTGTATTTTATTGCTGTTGCCCTCAAAACCAATTACTACTTATTATAGACACAGTGCTGTCATTCTGAAAGACTTCTGAACTATGGTGCCAGGATAATGATGTGATGGGGGAGTCATGGAAACCCTTTATTAAGATAATGGCCAAGAACATGACTTCAGTAGGGGAATATATTGTGTATTAGAGTTGGGGGAATGGGGGTGAGAAAGTGGCAAAGGGAACAGGGAGGTAATGTAGGTGCTTTTGAGTGTGTGTGTGTGTGTGTAAGAGAGAGAGAGACACATACACACACACACACACACACACACACACACACACAGAGAGAGAGAGAGAGAGAGAGAGAGAGAGAGAGAGTATCCTCTAGTAACATTGCTTAGTGCCAGCATGGAAAAGTGAATTGCAATACTTAAGCAAAGGGTTCAAAGTTGTCAGTGTCAGTTTACTCCTCTTCCCTGAGGGGGACAGGGTCGTTTCCCTATTAGCCCTTTGGGAGGTTCTACTTGATTTCTATGGTCTTGCAGTTTGCTTCTGCTGATGATATTTTTTACTGCTATAATTAAACCATGTTTTAATGTTTTGCTAATTTTTATTTTATTGTAATTAAAATATTAAGGCCTTATGTATTTATTGGTAACATGTATAATATTCAACACATATAGGTATTGTATAACATTTAAACCAGATTAAACCTTTATCTTTTTAAAACTTCCTTGTTTCTTTGTGGTGGAAACTTTCAAAGTCCTTCCAGTTTTTCACTGCACAGCATGCGGTTGTTGTGTATACTTCCCATGCTGACTGTGTGCACCCCTACCCTACCACTGTGTACTTTGTCTCTAGTCAGCTCTAACTTAGTGCCCATCCATCAACCTTTCCCTATTCATTCCCCCTCTCCTAGCATCCCCAGCCCTCATGAGGATTAATTTTTTTCTCTTGGTTTATTGACAAGCCTATTCATTAATATCAATTTCAGAATAATTGCTTAATCATCCACTTTGCTTTAGTTACATGGAAAAATTTCTAGTGTAAATATTAGGAATATTAATTAGATAATGAATGAATTCATTTGTGATCATTTGGGTGACAAGGAAAATTACACATAACACCCATGTAAAACTACCTACAAAATTGGCCTCTCCAATTATTTGCCCAATTGTAAAATGAGTCACTGATCCAAAATTGACCATAACATGCATTATTGGCATTCACAGTTAAACAAAAAGCCTATAATTAACATATTATAATTTTGAAGTTTTCTTATGAAAATGTATAATTTTTTTAAAATATAGAAATGGCAGTACTGGAAGTCTGGCATCACCAGTAGCCAGCTGATGTCATGTATTATTTCATAGTTAGGGTTGTTGGCCTCCAGTTCCCCAGTTCTCATCAGTCCTCTTCACTCACTGAAAGTCCCTTCCGAAACCTTAGAGGGCCTAAACCCCCTGCTCCAGAGCTCCATCATAGGCTCTTACTGCACCAAGAAAATGTCAGCTTGACTCACCTCCTGGAGTGGTATTTAGTTGTAAGTACACAAGGAAAGCAAAGCACTAAACTCCAACCGCTGCCCTTCCCCCTGCTCATACATGGTGAAGGAAAGCCTGGTGAAAGCCATGATGCTTTTGACGTAGCCCACTTAGCTGTCCTCAGATGAATGAGTGACACTGTAAAAGGAGGGCCTCTCAACTAAGACCTTAGCCTGAATCATGGTTATACTACTTATACTCTGTCTGATGGGAAGACATCTATACCTTATGTAGTTTTCAAAAATCCATATTAAACATCTATAGATTCCAATATATGATCACGATATTGGGATATATGTGGCATCACGTTTCTGTCTGAAGTTACCACTGGAATCATACTGCAGGCCAAGTTTTGTTACTTAAATGACTTAAAATGATAGTGTCATTTGTGCAATATATATTCATTATTATATATGCTATATTATATATTAACAAAGTGGGCATACATGCTGGTTGGGATATTAACCCAGCAAGTCTCGTGACATTTCTTAAATTATGCATATTTTCTGTAAGATCTTTCTGCTGTATGAGGAGCGTGAGTGTTTCCACTGTAAGCAATCCATGTTTGCTACAATGTCATTTGGCTGATTATTTTCTGCTGTGTATTTGTGGACATACACAGCCATACAGCTGAAACCATTCTGATTATTTCTCTGGACTTTCTTCCTTGGTGCTCTTTTTATTTAATGGGAATCCGCGATATGGATTTAAACATTTAAAATGTCTCTGTTCCGTAATGCAGATAGTCACCGGTTATTTTATGAGTTCCGTGGTGCAGTAAATATAACCCAGTTAGTCATCACTGGGGTCTGTGTGTTTGAATACATTGCTCATCCTATGCAAAGCAGGGAGAGGAGGAGATGACTCTCCCATCAGACTCTCACACATGGCTTCTCAGTAGTGCCAGAGCCTGCCCTCAGCAATGCGAGCACACTTCAAACAGAAATGCACATGAATAGTTAAAGGAAAATTCAGGATCCAACCTGTTGCCTCTTCTGTGAACCAATATGTCTATAATGTCTATAAATTTTAATAAGCCAGACAGAGCTTTTCTTTCAACATAAAACTCATGCTATCATAAAGTTTGGCTTTTGGCTGCATATATTCTCTAGTGTCTGAGAGATTCTACGCCTATGCTAATGCAGGCCAGTTCATGCAAAATTATAGTATTCTCTTATCAAGTGGACATCAACACATTTTGAAATCCGTATTTTCAATGTGATGTTTTCTTCATGTGACTGAAAGTGAGAAGGTCCATGTGGGAGATTAGGAACACTGGAGTATCATATTTGTTAATTCTGCCAAAGTGACTTATGTCCCTGTTTACTTTTGCTCTACAAGATAATAATTGAAACAAAATTTTCAAAGAGTTTTTTGTAGTAGTTAAAGATCCCCCTGGCAGTAAAAATTGAATTAAACAAATCTTCAACTTGAGAATTGGTATAGGAACACAGGCCATACAAGCTGAGTTTTAAATTGTTTATGGTTATAACAGCATGCCTCATTGTGAAGCTTATGTCTTAGAAACAAGGGCTCTGTCACAGTGCATGGACCTCTAGAAGAGGGAAACATTGTCATAAGAAAAACACAATTTTATTAGTCATACTAGGTTTGTGACAAGATGACACTATTGGCATTCCTTGAAATGTCTCTCTAACTATGGATCTTGAACTGTGAGTTTATTTTGGTATATTCTGAGTGACAAGGTGATAGAGGTTAAAGAGCATAATGACATTTTCTAAACAACCCTTTCCCATCTCTTTGCTTTCAGTTTACAAGCATTAAGAAAGGAGAAGTCCAGAGATGCTGCTCGTTCCCGTCGAGGAAAAGAAAACTTTGAGTTCTATGAATTGGCCAAGTTGTTGCCTCTTCCAGCAGCCATCACCAGCCAACTGGACAAGGCATCCATCATACGACTCACAATTAGCTATCTCAAAATGAGGGACTTTGCCAACCAAGGGGACCCTCCATGGAACTTGCGGATGGAAGGCCCTCCACCAAACACCTCAGTCAAAGGTAAGTTGTAGGCCACTGCCTTGTCTGCATTATGGTGGTCTGTCGGTGCCTCTGAAATGAAATGTTCACCAACATCCTTTCTTCTTTTCCTGCATATCAAATCCTTTAAAGGGATACAAATGTGGAAATCTGAACTCTGCATGAGAAAGACACCATGTGAAGGTGAAATAAATCTCTTCTATTTCTATTTGATTTTCAAAAGTCTGTCCGCCTAAACGTTATTTGACATGTTGTAACATTGCATAGGAGTTAGGATGAAATAATTTACATATGTGTCCTAATTTATGTTACACAGAAACCTGCATCTTCTTGACAATTGGCATGTAGGGATGTTGACTAATAGGTGGAGATAATGTGATTGGTGTCAAATAAACAAAGACAGGAATGGAGCAAGACCCAACCAGAGTAGATGCTTTTGAATGAATGATTTTATTGATCCTGAAAATCAACCCATGTATTAATTTTTCATGTTCCTCTGTGAACACATGGAAAGTTATGAATATAAACATATATTTGTTCTTCAAATCTTTGACATAGTTACTCTTAAAATTGTTTCAAAATGGTAGTACTGTCCCTCTGATGCTTAAACTCTGCAATTTCTTGTTTGTTCCCAAAACCCCTAAACTTGAGGGCATTTTTAGCATTCAATTATGAATGAATTAACTAATGTACATGTAATATTGGCCATTGATTTTTCTTTTCTTAAGGGCAAGTCATTCATAGTAAATGACCTAAAATTTTGAGATTCCAATGTCCTCATGTTCTAGCCTTGTATATAGAACTTTTGCAAGCATAGAATAAAAACAGGCTATTTAGGGAGATACAGATAATTTCTTCTGAAGGATATCGGCAAATTAAATTATTTTCCTTGAGATTTATTTTTATTATTTCAGTTATATGTATGTGGATGTGTCTTGCGGGGCTATGTGCATGTGAGTGTCCTTGGAGGCTAGAGGCATTGGCTCTCCCTGGAGCTGGAGTTACAGGTGGTTGTAAGTTGCCAGATGTGCTGAGAACCAAACACAAGTCTTTAACTGATGAGTCTTCTTTAGCTACATTGGGGATGAGGGCTGAGTCAGGAGCAGACCAAATCTTACTATATAGCTCTGGCTTGTCTGTAACTGTGTAGACCAGGCTAGCTTCAGACTCATGGAGATCTGCTTGCCTCTGCCTACCAAATGCTAGGAGTAAAGTCACATGCCACCATGCCCATCCAAAATAATTCTCAGGAGATTTCATACTGCCAGGTACCTCTGGAGAAGTATTTGTAGCCTTAACTGTTTGGCAAGTTTTGGAAAGAGTGCTGGCAGGTGGATTCTGAACAAAACAAAGGGTCAGAGCTATGACTGCTTGTCATTGCATGCTGAGAGTTGTAACCACAAATGTGTGAGTTACTTAGTTTGAAAATCCCTAGTCACACGCTATAAACTTAGAGGATCTCTAATACTCAGAGTACCAACATGATGCTACAATGAGAAAACTGTTGGGTACACGTATGAAATTAGTAAGAATAATATATAAACTTATATAGAGATGGTGTGCATAGGGATAGATGAAAAGCAAATGAATTTTGTATATAGACACATCTCCTTTCCTTAAGATATTTCATATATATGGAAGCATTCCAATATCTGAAATCTGTGACATTTCTAGATGCCAACATTATGTGTGAGGGAGACAGACCCATCTGCTCCTAAGACTAGTACTCTTAGGTGAGGGCACATTGACACAAAGTCTCATTCCTAAACAAGAAGTTGTTTGCATTTTGATACCTACTAGGAAGGGGGAAATGAGTTTTGTAAATGGAGCAATACTGAGTATATACATGCCCAGGAATAATCACTTAACACAACACAGACTCTTTTTGTGTGTGTTTCTTCTTATTGTTGTTATTTTGCCCATATTCTCTCTCTCTCTCTCTCTCTCTCTCTCTCACTCCCTGTTTTTTAATTTTGATGTTGAATGGGCAGTAGGAAGGTGTTGAGAATCTGGGAGGAGTTTGGGGGAAGGGGGAAAATGTGATCAAAATATTTGAAAAATTTAAATAATAAAAATAATTGTTCTCTGGTTGTGAGAGGAAGATTAGAATTTGGATTTCTTCCTTTTATTTTTTTCTAAAGCAGGGCTGACCCACTTATTTATAAAGGACCCTAGAGTAAATATTTTGGTTTTGGAAACTACTTAGTCCTGCTCGTATACCATGAGATCAGATGCAAACAGTATATAAAGGCAAAGATGAGGCTATGTTCCAGTAAAACTATATTTACAAAACACATGGCAGCTTACTGGTCATTGTTTATAGACCAGTGCTCTAGAGTTCATAACATTCAAAGTCTGAAGAACACATACCTAAGGCACCGCTCATAGGTAGGATATCAACATGACTAAAATACACACACACACACACACACATATATATATATATGTATATATGTATATATATATATATATCAGTGCATTTCTATATATTCTGCCTTTGAAAATGTAGATATCAACTGATGAATGTTCTAGATAACAAAATATCCCTGAAATTTCACAAAATACATGTATATTATTCACATATATATATATATGAGATTTTGACAGGCTTAGACTATAGCTACTAATTGATTTTTTTTTTAACTGTGTGACCTTCAGTCAGCTCAGCTCTGTAATTACCTGTTATGGTCAAGATGAATAAGACGATATAGCATGGTCATGACTCCCATGGGTGTCCCATTCTAGGCAAGGATGTAAGGTAACACTGAGGAAAGCAGGGAGGCTAAGATAGTTGCTGAAGAGCCTGCAAGGAGATAATAGATCTTCTTAGTTAATGGTGAAGGTAGAGCATGGAAATTTATGTGAGTTCATCGCTAGCAAACTTGCAATAGGCTAGCACTGAAGATAGAATCTCAGTGAGTCTACCCTGTCTAGCCAGGCTCTCAAGTGTTTAGAGGTTACAGGAGCACTTTCTAGAAGCTGGCTCTGCTGTAGACTATATGCACAGCTTATTGCTTTATTCTAGTTCTTTAATGCAAAACTGCTACTCATTCTGATCAAACAGTCATGAAACAACAACATCAAAAGAAATTCATTTTAATTTATTAAGGTTTTCTATGTTGTGCCCTTGAAGAAGTTCATATGGATAAACAAGCTTATATAAATAGCCTGCAGCATTCTGTGGAGTGCAGTTCATAATCCGACAATAAAACAGACAGACATTATACTTTGAGCCTCTCCAAACAGCCTCTTGAATAAACCTAAAGGCATTTTGAAATTTATATGAAAAGTACTCACACTGTGTAGGCAACAGTTTTTAATGTGATGAGTTGATCATGCTAATAATTAAATTTCAAAGCTGAAATTTAAATTTGTCCCACACAACTATGTAGAATTTTAATCATTTTAATTTGCTGCTTCCGAAAGGTCTTCAGTCTGCCCTGCATTCATCACATCTCTTCTTAGCAGTCTATAAAGGTTGATGAGTTTGTTGTGTGATGCCCATTGTATACAGATTATTACAAGTTACACGTGCAGGGAGAACGCTCAGGTGGCAGTGTGGAATATGTCCTGAGTCAATTACCTCATGGAAATGATATGTTAAGCAATTGGAACGCAACAGATAGTTTTTTCTATTATTTTAGAAATATTGTATTGTTATAGTACAGATCAAATCTACAATGAACATTATGCATTATTCACGAAATGACCAGGCGTTCTCAGCACTGTTTCAGCTAAATAACTGATGATTGTAACCTTTAAAGAAATCTCATTGTGGTGACTGTTGGTAAATCACTTCTCCATTCATAGTAATCTCTATTTAGAGGCTATCTAGAAGCCATTACATCTTTTATTAATCTTAAAAGCAGTGGCTTCTGATTTGGCATTTACTAAAACTAGATAAATTTTCTGTCTTTCTAATATCATGGACTTGAGTCAATTTTTGGAGTATGTCTCCTGCAACTCAATTAATCCAGGAATATTTGCCATTGTACACCTAAGTTCTATTTCAGTTTAAACATTAAAGATTTTAAATGATAATTTGCCTGTGTGTATGGCAGCCAGTGATGCTGAATATGTAAAATATATGACAGCCTTAGTCTCTGCAGAGGAGCAATTGAAAAACACACAAGACAACTGCTGATTAAAACCAAGGGAGGCCCCGGGGACAGAGAATTTCTATCTTTATAAAATTTACTTCACTGGAGGCTGAAGAGAGGCTTCATCAGTGTGGAGCACTTGCTTGTTCATGCAAAAGGCTCAGTTTAGTTCCCAGCACCCACAATGCAGCTTGCAACCACCTATAACTCCAGTTCCTGGGAGGGACAACACCCCTTCTGGCCTCCATGTAGTCCAGGCAGGCATGCATGGAAACAAAACACTCAAATGTGAAAAATAAAAAAAAAAAAAAACAGTAAACACTCCATTGTTGCAGGAATCTATTGGAAATTAAGCTGCAGCTATTTCTGGGAGAAGAAAATGGTGGAGCTCTGTTTAAGCATGGTGTCTATCCTTATACAATTGCAATACTCATATGTAAACCATGGTGCTTAGCATACTCATTTCAAGTAACTGTGTAAGGTATTGGGTGCAGGTTAACATCCTGAAGGACATTAAATTGCTGCTATGATGGTGGTTCCCCTAACTTAGTGAGCATTTTATGAAGTATGCTTTGTTTGGGGAGAGGAGTAAAGGTTCTAAGATGATCTGAATGGTGGATCTTGGTCTTCAGAGCTGGGAAGCCTTTCCAGTTTTTGCCCTGGCATTTTGGTGGATGTTGACGTGAGTTTGCTTCAAGCAGATGGCATTCATGCTTGCAGGCAAGGTGCACATTCCTTTTCTCAGAAACCTTGCAAGATGAACATTGTTTGTTATTCTACACTAAGTCTATGGCATCTTTTGTTTTTATTTTAGAAGAGTTCAAGACCAAGACTGAATTCCTGTTACATTTTGAGTAGCAGTTTCCTTAGAGCTAGGCAAGGAAGTTTAAAATTGGAAGCCTGGCACTTATTTGCATATCATCCTTGCTGCATCATTCTCAGGAGATTGGGGGACTCAGGCTGGTACCTAGCTTCGTCTGCCTCAATCCAAAGTTGCTTCTGGCACAAGTCGATACCCTTCCAGAGCCAACCTGCTGGTGCATATTGCCCTTTATTTGAGCAACATATATGCCAGGTCTTAGT